CTTCTTCTTCTTCTTCTTCTTCTTCTTCTTCTTCTTCTTCTTCTTCTTCTTCTTCTTCTTCTTCTTCTTCTAGTTCTCAGTCATTTAAAAGAACTGCATGAGTAAGAGCACTTACTGCTTGGACCGAGTTCAGGGGTTCTCAAGGTTGTACCACTAGTGATTGTTCACAACTAAATGAGCTTGAAGTTTATTTGTCACAGGGACTTGAGGAAGTGAATCCCGACAGCTCATTTAATCTTTTGGAATGGTGGAAGAACAAAGAAAAACACTTTCCGATCCTTTCAAGGATGACCAAGGCATTTTAACCATTCAAGCTTCAACAGTGGCATCTAAGAGCACTTTTAGTCAAACAAGATTACAACTCAGTGATTATAGAGCGTCTATGAGGGAGAGCTTGGAAAAATCAGTACTTTTTAGAGATTGGATCCGTTCGGAACGAAGAAATTTTGGACTTACTGAATCACAACCAGAGGTAGACGAAGCTTACAAAGAAATGCTAGCTGAATAAGCGGAGGATGCATCTTTGCCTGGAAGCGGTGATGAACAAGCTTCTTTTCCGCCACCACCAACGAAAATTCCTCAGAACCTTGATGGATTTATGAAATTTGTAAGAGATACCATGTAAAATTAATATGTAACTTGCATTTTGGCACATCTTGATTAGTTTCTTTTTCTTCTCAATGGTGGTATTAGCACCTTGGTTGTGCNCGCTTTTTAGTTAACCGTCTTATCAGCTTCAGGTAAAGTGTGGTTTTGAAACGCGCTTTACCTTTGGACGTTAAAGTAAAACGTGGTTTAAAATCGCGTTTTATATAGTTTGGTTTGGTCACTAAGTTTTTTTCCCACTTATTTCGATATTTTGAGTCCAAAAAGATCACAAATAGTTCCGGATTCCCCGGAAACCTTGTTCTTGACCCCTTAAAAACCTTGGCCGACACACATCTTATCCAAGATTACCTTAGATTCCACCCCATATTGCATATTGAATTTCAACCCTCGTCTCTTTCTCATAATAATGACTAATAAAAGGACATTGAACAAGTTGGGTTCCTACTTCCTAAGCAATGATCTCGATTCCATAGGCGATGGCATTAACTCCTCGCAAAGGCTAATGAACAAAATTAAAGGAAAATGCAAAAGCCATTGCAAGAATTGTTAAAGGAGTATGACATATTGACATTCCTAAGGCATTTCCCTTCCTGAACCTGATGCCACCAACTATAAGTTTAATGAAGAAACCCACCTGTTCATATTCCTTCTGTATGTGAGTTGGTTAGAGGATTCATCTTGTATTATGCGTTTCTGTACTGTTACCATATATAGTTGGAGAAAGGAGGGAAAGCAAAGATAGTTTGAAGGGTACTCAAGAATAGAGGTGTCTAGGTGTCTAGATGGGCAAATTAGTCCAAATACATAATTTTTTTGCATTAATAGTAATAATTAATATAAGAGAATAATTACAAACAAATCATAATAAACCGCTACCTCCTCCCGACATGAAAGAATGCCCAATAATTCTTCGGGGCTGGTATGTCCTGTCAATTCAGGTATGGAAAAGGTCGATCAAAGAAAGGACTTCGATACTGCCTGGTGTTGGTTCGGCAATATTTATGTCTAGTGGGGAGCTTTGTATAATATGGTAATGGTACTACAAGAGAGGTCAGTGTAATGAAGGCAAACTTGAGGAGGGAGGTCTTTGAAATTATCCCATTAAATTTTAATTGATTTTAAAGTTTTAAATCTTAGGAGATAATTGAATTATAAGTTATTTTAAAGTCCTAAATATATAAAAATAATCACTTAAAATTGTCTAATATGAAGTCTTATTTCAAAGAAAAAAGGGCGAATATTTGTGCATTTATAATAATAATAATTTCAATTCATGCTTAATTTCAAGCTCTAGGCGTACCCGTTTGGCCACACAAATATTTTTTTTGTCCCCAAAACTTTGTTTGGTGATATATTGGATTGAATTTTTCTGAATTTTTTTTGAAGATGAGTTTCCATGTTTGAAAAAGTGAATTTTACGATTTTTTCATGTAAATTTTATTTCCCCTCATAAAATGCAATATTAAATGAAATACATATCCAAATATAAAATTCTAAATATCTTTTTTCAACTTAACTCCAAAATATATCTTATGTGCCAACTGAAATATATATTTGCGACTTGCTTGGAATGCGGGGCATTATAGTCCTTTCACTTTCATATAATCCAACAGAAGTAGCTCAATTTACAAAAAAAACAGGGCAAATAAATTACGAAATACCAAAAAGTATTGGCGGTAAGCAACTTCATTGACATCCTGCTTATTTTTTGTTGCTTACGAAGCGTGACACGAAACTCGTTTTTATTTTTTATTTTTAATGGAAATAAGAAAGACTTCCTGGTAACCTATCTCCATGGAATTGTATAGTCTTTTTTATTTATCTATTAATTCATTTATTTATGTTCTTGGAGCTACAGATGGCAGGTTTTGACGTGTGAAGTCATGAATTCTTAAACTATGATGTTTTCTTCCTAAATTTAAAATTTAAAATTTAAAATAGATGACTCAACATATCAAACTGCTTTTTCTATTCACATTATATTATAAGTTTTTTGTCTTTCAACTGATTTATGTTCTCTTGGGTTGAAGGTTCATCTTACTTTGGTAAACGTTTGTGTTTCCTCTCTCTAGTCATCAGGTTTTTATCATTGTTTTTACAATACTTGAGAATTGATTCTTGTGTGTTTATGCATGCATCTTGTTTGTTTTATTGAAATTAACTCTGTTTTATCTTTATTTATACATTCAAATATTCAATTATGGTTTTATCTGAACCAAACATGCTGTTAGTGTTGGTCCTGCATTTAGTTAATTAACATTGTTTATTCAGACTTGCTAGATGCCAAATGCTTAAACTTGTAATTTTCTTGTCGAGAATTGTTGGTCTCAATTCTCAACTAGGCCAAAGATACTCTTAAGGTCATGTGAGATTGTCCGCTTTGAACCAAGCCCGTGCGGTTTTCCTCAAAAGGCCTCAACCAAAGGGATTGTTTGGTACATGGGATAAAGATAATAGTCCCGGGATAGAATTTAGGATTGTATTTATCTCATGTTTGGTTAAAGGTATTAGCTAATTTCGAGATAAATTTTACACTAAAATGGTGGGATTAGCTATCCCATATAGAAGGTGGAATAACTAATCTTATGGGATATTCTGGTTTATCCCACCGTTGTACCAAATGACCCCTAAGAGTATCCTACATATAAGAGTATCCTACACCTTATATGCAATTTCCCAATCTTTTCAGCTACTATTGTAAGACTTTGTTCAACACCTAGCAGTCTCCATTTGAACTAAGTTCCACATGGTCCATCACCACGATCCATGTGTCTCCCCCCTCAAATTAAGCTTCACATGGCCCATTACCATGATCTATGGGTCACTTTTTGAGATTTACTGTGTGCCAACTAGTCAGAGTTGCGTCTCTAAGCTCGTTAGGGGAAGTAAACCGAGCCACACACTATCTCTCTGCTATCGCCATACTTGTCCCGCCGAACCATAGGCTCTGATACCAGTTGTTTAGCTCAATCAGCCTAAAGATACTCTTAACATAGTGTGATATTATCCTCTTTAGGTCAAACCAACATGGTTTTTCCCAAAAGGCCTCAACTTTTAAGAGTATCTGAATGTTGAACTTTGTTCTTACACCTAACAAGACTAATGTTAATGCGTGATATGAAGATGATACGTTCTTATAGATTAGTCCTATTCAATGATTGAGAAGAAGACAACTTAATGTTGTTTGTTCAAGTAGTTAACATTTTTGAATTGTCACTGGATTAGATTTTATGTGTTGCTACTATGGTGTAGGTTGACAATATAACTTGTTTGTTCGGTCCTACATCATTACAAAGCAGAAATATGTCTTATTGCAAAATGGAAACAGATGAAAGTGGGACTTCTTCTAGTTGTGACCTTGATGCCTGCTTTTGGCTACCCCCTGAACCAGAACATTGTTATGATGATATGGAATTTCATGCGGCTAATTATGAAGACGGCGGTCACAAGTTTAAAGAGGAAAAACAAAAGTTATTAGGGGATATGATGGACCAGAGGCTTAAGCCCTTTGTCAATGACATGCTTAATTCTTCTGGTGTCGTCTCTTCAGGGAAAGAGGGTGACAATTGGATTGACATAGTAATTTCCTTGTCCGTGGAGGCTGCTTCATTTTTGATGCCTACTGCCACGGAAGGAAATGCTATGGATCCTAATCGATATTTGAAGATAAAATGTATTGCAACTGGTTCTCGCAGCCAAAGGTATTAAACATCAACCGATTTTTCTTATCTTTATTTGTGTTCGTCGTTCCTCACTCGCTTAATATTTAGACAGTTAAAATTTGATTTCATTTCTCATGCTTACTCCCATCTAATAAGACTGTATTCTTTTTCTCTGTGAACTTCCAAAAGGTGTCTTCTCTTTTGAACGGGAACTTTTTTCCTTCTCTGTATTAATTTTGAATGTTATACGACTTTAAGTTGGGCTTGAATAGAGCAGAATGGATACAAAACATATATGTATATTGATTGACTGATACTTCTTTAAAAGTTACAGGATATCATCTTTTACTTTTATAAAACCTCAACCTCGCCAAAAGGTTTCATTTCTCATTTAAATACTACTCGATCCTCCTAATTTCAGTATCTACCTTTATCGCTTTGTTCGTGCCTGTTCACACCATAGCTACAAATTTTTGACAGAGGGAGCCCTTAGTTCTCTTGGGTAAATCATAGTTTTTTTCTGTTTTGTAGTCAATTTGTTCGAGGTTTGGTCTTCAATAAACATGCTGCTCACAAACACATGCCTACAAAGTATGATAAGCCTAGATTGCTGCTGATCCAGGGTGCGCTTGGTCTCTCTTCAAATGAATTGTCGGTATTTGAGTCCTTTCGACAGGTAAACTAGAAATCCGTTGTATGTATCAAATAAAAAAGATGAGCATATTCATATGTTTGTGATTACTGTTCTCACATATTAACAGGAGAATGATAGAGTGAAGTCCATAATTGACATGATAGAAAGCTACGAACCAAATGTGGTTTTAGTAGAGAAGTCTGTTTCTCGTGACTTACAAGAGTATGCTCTTAATAAAGGATTGACATTGGTCGTTGATATCAAGCCACATCGAATGGAGAGAGTTTCTCAATGCACAGGTTCATCAATCATATCCTCTGAAACATTGGTTGACCTCAGGCAGTGTGATTCCTTTCATTTTGAGAAATTCCTAGAAGAACATGTCTCTTCTGGTGATAATGGGAAAAGATCTAGCAAAACACTTATGTTTATCAGCGGCTGTTCTAGTCATCGTGGATGTACAGTGAGTATATTTGCAGCTTGTCTGTTTTATTTTTGCTGATACAGAATTCATAACTGCTTTTTGCACTTGTAAATGCAAACCAATTCTCTTTGTTGTAAATCAAATCCAGGATGCATGGACTGATATTTGTTTCCGTTATCTGCTATTCATGATGCCTTTATTTACAGATCACCGATGTGATTTCTTTGGCAGATTTTGCTAATGGGAACTAACAGCAATGAATTGAAGAAAGTTAAATATGTTGTCCGGCGTGCTGTCATCGTGGCATATAATTTAATCCTTGAGACTTCTTTCCTTCTAGATCAAAAAGCAATGATAACAAGACATAACTTAGAGGAAGAAGGTGAATGTCTGTTGTTTAATCCAAACAATCCAGAAGATCATGGCCAAAATGATGTTCAAGTTTCTCATGCGCAAGGGGTGGCTAATCAAATTGATCTACAACAGAGAGCCACTCTTCCTGTCTACAAGAAAACACCTGAAAAGGAACAACTACATTGTCCATTTCCGAGTGCAGAAGAGTCTTTGGAAATTCCTGAAGACGAAGAACATAATAACGATGTCATGACATCATCCCTGGATTGGGAGAGTACTTTGGTAATGATGTCAAGATGGAATGTTAAAAGAGGCACTAATTGTGTGAACAATCATTTTTCTAGAATCAGGTTCTATCAAGATTATGATATTCCCCTTGGGAAGTTTTTGCGAGATAATCTGCTAAATCAGGTGCATAGATATCAATTGTCTCCATTACAAATTCTTTCTTTGTGTCACTGTGTTTCCACTCTGAAACTGCTTGCTAGAGTGCTGGTTGCTCATTTAGCAGAATGTGATATTTGAAGTTGCTTCTATAATCTATTTACTATGTAGGAACTTCCGTTCCCTGGATCTATTTACATGCGATATTTGAAGTTGTTTCCATGTGACCTATAGGTCACGGGTTCGATTTGTGGAATCAGCCAATGATGCCTGCATCAGAATAGGCTGCCCACATCACACCCCGTTAGGGTGAGGCCCTTCCCTGGATCCTGTGTAAACGCGGGATGCTTCATGCACCGGATTACCTTTAGGAACATCCGTTCATTGTTTTCTGTACATAGTGTCTTTTATTTTAGGTTGTTGACCTATAAGCTCTGTTGTTGCAGAGGAACCAATGCGGGACGTGTGGTGAATCCCCGAAAGTTCACATTTTCCGTTATGCACATCATGAAGCTACTGACTATTAAAGTTCATTCTCTTCCATTAAACAAGGCCCTCTCAGGTGAAAGGGAAGGAAAAATTTGGATGTGGAGTCGTTGTAATGGAGGCTCAAAAAATACAAAAAGAGTTTTAATGTCTAGTGGCTCCCTTGGATTTTCATTTGGAAGATTTTTGCAGCTCAGTTTCTCCGATTCCTCTTTGTTTAGTAGACTGCCTGACCGCAGTCACTCCTTCAACAGTGATCTCCTCTACTTCTTCGGGTATGATCAAAGTTGTGGTATCCATCTTATAAGTTTATTATTTTACGTATTTAGGTTCAACACTAGAAATTAAAGTAAGTTAGATGGTTGAAATCAAGGAGTGTTATGGCAGTATTATGTAATACAATGGCGGATACAGAATTTTTAAATCACGGGTTAAACTTTTTTTTTATCTGAAAATTACTACTGAGATAATGTATTTGTATAAATTACTAGCTTTTCTACGTAAATAATAGTGCGTGGCTCCAAAAGTAATGGGTGCTTGAGCACCCATAACCCAGGACATACATCCGCCACTGCCTAAATAGGGCGGAACGGATACAGATATAACCATTTTGGGAGTAAGACATACTTACTTGACTTATTACATCTCTGATTTTGCAGCTTTTCTTTTTTCAACTCTGGCAATCATTTGAATAGATGCATTGCGATTCAGTGTTGAGCCTTGATCAGATTTCATCTTTTTTTAAAGAAATTCATGTCATTCTCTTAATGTGCAGATTAGGGTCAATGGTTGCAGTGTTCAAGTACTCAACTTTTATTAATTATTCTGTGTCTCTTCCTCCTCCGATTTTGGAGTTTAGCAGTTCGACCAAAGGAGAGTTTTGTAGGAAGGATTTTGAGGATGTATGTGCTTTTATGAAGCTGTATACTCTTTTTACATATTAATGCTTTTAAGTTTTTGGTTTACTGCGGAAATTACATGATATATTGCAAGTCTATGATGACCGAGATTTTCTTTTCATAAGTAGGTTTACACGAAAGGGATTATGAAGTTTCTCGATGTAGAGAAAGCTTTAAAGGCAATAGAGTCCCGTTTTAATGGAACAACTATAAATATTCAAGGGTCAAATTTGGAATTTTCTGAAGTTGAGAAAATGCTGAAGGAAGAGAGATCTCAATTTGAGGTTAGTTCCTTTCTGGGCTCTCATTCTAGGATTACTTGTTCTTCTAGCACTTAATCTAAATATCTAATCAATCTTGTGGTGATTCGTGCATCGTTTTTCCATCTCGTTTCCTCATTTTTTGTATTCCTTGTATGTTACTCCACAACCACACGGTGTTCAGGCGATGTTCCCTATCGTAATGTTAACATGTCAAATGTATACCGATGCATGAACCAAGATTAGTTAAGTTGTTGATTTACTGGTGAAGATGAGCATATATCAAATATATTGATGTGTATGCGCCATCTAAATATAATCTTTTGCCTTTTCTAATTTTCAGATTGATATTAAAAACACAGAGAAGCAGGAGGCTGTGTATAAAGCTCTGAGCTTGAACAGAATACAGCTGGAGCTTCTGCTTGAGTTGTGTGTGTGGGATCGACGTCTTCATTCCCTGATGTCATCTGACTATAAAGTTACTAATCCCAAAACCATTGACCAGAATCAAGACGCACTGGCCGCTAAGCTAGATGCTAATGTTACAGGTGCCAGTTATTTTAATCCTCAAAGGAGTAGATCCATCTTAGCAATATTATCTAACATAGAGCATAACAAAGGGTGGTGGAGTCCTTTCCCTGAAATTCGACGTGAATACATGAAGAATCTTCAGAGAGGTTACTTAACAAGATTAGGTTCTGTCGCAACCTATGGTGCAGAAACTATAGCTTGTGGACTTACTACTGATGAAGTTGGAAACCTCTATATTCCCCTCGGAAGTGATAAGTATATCGTGTCTGATTATGAAGATGAATTTTCTAGCATAATTGCTTGTGCTTTGGCCTTGCTGATGGATTTACCTGTCGCGAGTCATGATCTTGAAGATGAATCATGCTCATCGAGTTTGCCTAGAACGCACAAATACTCAGTGATCTGTCCCTATGCTCGTCCATTTCTTCATTTGCGAGATCGTTGTTGCCCATCTGAAGTTGATTTTATTGCTTCCTTAAGTAGGTGTAGGAGCTGGTATCCAAAAGGTCGTGAAACTAATTCTTTTTCCGCCAAAACTCTTGATGATCGGTTCATCGTAAAGGAAATTAAGAGGAATGAATTTGAGTCATTCTTGAAATTTGCTCCTTGTTATTTTGATTACATGGATCAGTGCATAGAGAAAGGAAGTCAAACCTGCCTCGCAAAAATTCTCGGCATTTATCAGGTCAAGTAAATCAACTTAATTTTCTTGTTATAACACAGCACAGACTTGCTAGCAACTGTGCATTTGCTTATTGAAGTTTTCTCTATATATTTATGTTTTGCAGGTCATAATAAGATCAAGTGGGAAAGAGAAAATGCATGATCTCGTGGTGATGGAGAACCTTTCGTTTGGAAAAAATATTACTCGACGATATGAACTAAAAGGTACATTGCATGCTCGACTTAGTTCAGCAAACGACGGAGCAGGAGGAATTTTTCAGGACCAAAACTTTGTGAATGACATGAATATTTATCCCATATGTGTTGGTAAGAACTCAAACAGGAATTTGCAAAGAGCTGTATGGAATGACACTGCTTTCCTCAGTGTAAGTTTGCCATGAAATCCTAATACCAACAGCACTTGAATAGCATGCCTTTTTTGCACATACAGTTAAACCTCTCTATAACATTCTCGTTCGTTCTGATATATTTTAGCTGTTATAGAAGGGGAGCCTTGGCGTAACTGGTAAAGTTGCTGGCATGTGACCAGGAGGTTACGGGTTCAAGCCGTGGAAACAGCCTCTTGCAGAAATGCAGGATAAGGCTGCATACGATAGACCCTTGTGGTTCGGTCCTTCTCTGGACCCCGCGCATTGCGGGAGCTTAGTGCACCAGGCTGCCCTTTAGTGAAATGTTGTTATATAGGACATATGTTATAACATAATATAAATATCAGTTCCAAGAAAAACTTGGCCTTTATAGTGAATGATTGTCGTGTAAGGATGTTGTTATAGAGAGGTCTGACTATATTAACCAATAACCACTCAATCCTAATTGTGGCTCAGGTTCTAAACTGGTGTTAATTTGCTGAATTGCAGACAATCAATGTGATGGACTATTCTCTGTTTGTGGGAATGAATACTGAGGGCAATGAACTTGTTTGTGGGATCATTGACTATCTAAGACAGTACACATGGGACGTACAACTCCTCAATTGGTTCAATTCCTCACTTCCCGATCCCAAGGAGTATAAAAAGAGATTTAGGAAGTTTATCAATGAACATTTTCCCACTGTTCCAGACCAATCTTGAATCGAAGATCATCAAATTATTGTGGTAATTCAGTTCATTCGAAAGCTAAAGATGAAGCCGAACATGAAGATAATATTTTTGGTGATAAAATCTGCTCTCCAAGGAAAACAGAAACTTGAGTTTTTTTCTATAGTTTAAGTCTCATAGTGAAAATACCGAGTCATTCAATTACATGCGTTTGCAGTGGAAGTTCTTGTTTTTATTTGGATTTGTGAGAATTGATTTCGAGGTTCCTTTTTCTTTTTCTCCTTTTTTGTGAAAAGAGTATGTGCATGCTTGAGTTAAGTTTATGGAAGAATATTTGTGTGTACGGTCAAAATCGTATGCCTCCGATTTATAGGCTCGAGGGTCCGTCCTAAGCCCGAGTCCTGGCGAGGTCGAGTTCGAAGACCGGTGGACCAGGTTCGAGCCCGAAGACAAAGTGCAATACCCAGAGATAGGGGAACGAGGAATACCGGGGCCAAGTATGCTCGACCCTGAAATAGTACCATTACGGATTTGTAACAGAATGAACTAGATTTCTGTCACATCCCCAAAGATCGTGGTGCAAATCCCGGAATAGGATTGTACGATTTTGTACTAGGCGGTTAGACAATTGTACCAAGAATATTCCTTACTGTAAATAGAAATATACCTTATTTAGGGTTTCCTCTATTATATAAAGGAGACCCCAATCATTTGTAACATCATCTAATCATTGATAAAAGAATATACTCTCTACCTTTTACCTACTATTCATCAGAATTACCCTTTAGCTCTATTGTTCTTACTTTATTTTTCTTGCTTAATTGTTCTTATTGCCCTAAGCCACCTCGAGGTCACTAAGCTCGAGGTCACTACTGCTGAGTAACATTGGTTTGATTCACTTCTATTTTTCATTTCTACTTCATATTTCTTGATTATTAATTGGTATTGAACTAAATCACATATCTTTAAAATCACTAATCAAATTTAATTGTTACTTGTATTTTTGAGGTAAATAGTTCGGCGCTCACCGTGGGGCTAAAGATACTAGTGATTATTTCTTTACTGATTCTCATTACACATTGTTTTTACACTTTTTCTTGTCAAGATTTTTTTATTCTCAGGCTGAAACATGTCTAGCTCGCAAAACGCACCTGTTCATGACAACGAAGGTCTTGGAGAAAATAGCAGTATAGGGGTAGGTGTACCACCAATAAACCCCGAGGAAGTGCCAAATATGGAACCTATTGATGTTAGTTCACACAATACTCTAAACGCAAATTCAGGCACAGACCCCAGAGGGAATATACGCAGGAAGGCTCGATCTGGTGGCCAAGGAGCACAAGGAATGGGAGATGGGGGAATCAACCTCCAAGAGATATTCGAAATGCTGCAATCTCAGCAAATCGCCATCGATCAACTTCAAAGTCAGAATAAGACTCTGAGTATAGCTGAAACAGAAAACACTCGGCGTGCTAAACCAGCGCAAGAGAGGTCAAACAGAAATGATTCGGGGACTGACCCCACCATTATGAGAATTCTTGAAGAGCTCGCCAAGAGGATCGAGTCCGGGGAAAAGAAGATTGTAGAAAATGACAAAAACGTGGAGACTTACAACTCCCGTGTTGATTAAATACCAGGGGCACCTCCGGTCTTGAAAGGATTAAATGCCAAAAAGTTCATACAAACATTCCCCCGAGTGCAGCTCCAATGCTCGTTCCCAAGAAGTTTCGGATGTCCGATGTACTCAAATATAACAGGACAACCGACCCTAACGAGCATATTACTTCATACACTTACGGAATCAAAGTAAATGATTTGAATGACGATGAGATCAAATCAGTCTTGTTGAAAAAATGTGGGGAAACATTGTCTAAAGGAGCTATGATTTGGTATCACAACTTAGCTCCCAACTCTATTGACTCGTTTTCTATGTTAGTAAATGCCTTCGTGAAAGCGCATGTCGGGGCCATAAAGGCGGCCACGAGAAAATCGGACGTCTTCAAAATAAAACAAAGGAACGACGTGATTCTAAGGGAGTTCGTGTCCAGGTTTCAGATGGAAAGAATGGAATTACCACCGGTCTCCGATGACTAGGAAGTACAAGCCTTTATGCAGGGTCTGAATGAAAGGAGCTCGATTGCGTCTCGACATCTAAAACAGAACTTGATCGAATACCCAGACGTGACATGGTCAGATGTTCACAATCGTTACCAGTCAAAAATTAGGGTAGAGGACAACCAGTTGGGAGCCCCCTCGGGTTTAGTACACCCTAATAGATTCGCAGCTAAGACCCTGACGGACACAAATCGGGAATCGAGATTCAACAAAGAATGGTATCAACCATACGTCGATCGGAGAAACAATGGTCCAGGTCGTAACACTCCTCGGAACGATCGGAGAAATGATCAAGGCCAAAATTCTTGGGGACTCATGAGTAAGAGTGGGTTCGATAAGCATATTGACCCCGTTGAGGCTCCTCGATTATCGGAGTATAACTTTAGCATAGATGCATTGGAATTGTCTCAGCTATTGGGAGAATCAAAGACCCCAAGTGGCCCATTCCTATACAGACCGATCCTTCTAAAAAAAACCCGAATTTGATGTGAAAGTTTCATGGCTTACATGGTCATAGAATAGAAGACTACAGGTAGCTAAGGGAAGAAGTGCTCGATTGTTCAACGAGGGCCACCTTCGAGAATTCCTAAGCGATCGTGCTAAGAATCACTTCAGGGAAAGAGATGCAAGGAAAAATGACCAAGAAGAACCACAACATGTGATCCACATGATCATTGGCGGAGTCGATGTCCCTCAATGACCTGTGTTCAAACACACCAAAGTATCAATCACCAGAGAAAAATAGACTCGGAGCTATGCGCCCGAGGACGTCTTATCATTCTGTGATGAGGAAGCAGAAGGCATATCTCAGCCTCACAGCGACGCCTTGCTAATCTCTATCCTTTTGAATAAAATTCAAGTTAAACGTGTTTTAGTAGATCCAGGTAGCTCAACAAACATAATCAGATCAAGGGTCATAGAACAACTCGGCCTACAAGATCAGATTGTACCTGCATCCCGGGTCTTGAATGGCTTCAACATGGCAAGAGAAATAACAAAAGGAGAAATTATCCTGCCAGTAAACGTAGCCGGGACCGTACAAGATACGAAGTTCCATGTCATCGAAGGTGACATGAGGTATAACGCACTCCTCAGGAGACCGTGGATACATAATATAAAGGCAGTGCCTTCAAGTCTTCACCAGATGATAAAGTTCCCAACAGAGGAAGGAGTAAAAAAGGTCTATGGAGAGCAACATTCTGCAAAGGAGATGTTTGCAATCGAGGAAGTGGTGTCGACTCCAGAGCCTTCAATCTCGAAGAAAGCGAGCGCCAAAGGTAAGCAGACATCCAAATAGCAATCACCGCCACCAGCCTCGATGGAGTCGAAGCAATAGGTAATCAAAGACGAAGAAGAGGATTTTCTTACTCCTCGAACCTTCGTTATTTGATCGGTGCCAAACCTGCACTACTACAAAGTAGCGAGAGTGGTCGAAGCAGCTTTTACCTGAGAAGGTCGGGATCGATTTTCACAGGGAGCTAAAAATGGGAATTGTGTTTTTATCTAAATTAGAGATGCGTAATTGCTCTTAATTGCACTTCTAATCATAGTTGGTCTTTTGATTTTACTTCTAATTTTATGCTAATAAAATGCTAAATTAAGCTAAGAGTGAAATACTTGAAGGTTGTCTAAATAGTTAAAAAGGCATTAGGGAAGTGACTTTCTCCTAGGTGGATACTTGACGGGTTCTCGAGACTAAGGCTAGGTTGTCATGTTGGGGATTATGATATAACCAATGCACTAAACTTCTCACTTTATACCTCTCGGTAGTTTGAGTGATTTTTCCCTAATTGATTTTCTCAAGACCAATTGGGTATGATAATTTGTGCAAGCAATTTAGGTTCAATTTTTGTGCGGTGGCTTCTGTTGTGGTCCGCACAAAAAGGACCGTGGACCGTATTGGCATTAAGCTCCAAATCTTCAACTCTCTGAACTCCCTATTTGCGGACCGCACAATATCGAGTGTGGCCGCAGTGAGTCTATTGCGGTCCACATGAAATACTTTGCAGCCGCAATGCTTGATTTCCTGAAATAGGCACCTCTCTGAACCTCCTCACTGCGGACCGCACCAAATGGAGTGCGGCCGCAGTGGACCTGTTGCACTGTGCTCGGACTTGTTCTTGGTACTTGTGCATGTTTCACTCCTTTTTGAGCTGGTTTGACGAATTGTCACCTTGTTGACCAAACCCTGCAAACAAGTACAACATGTAAGCCTTTGAGACTATTTTGTACACATTTTCAATCAAAACTCAAGTAAGAAGGAGTGTGAAATGCATCATAATCCCAAGTTATCAACTCCCCCAAACTTAAGCTTTTGCTTGTCCTCAAGCAAACAAAATAAGACCCACCCCTTAAGAGTAAATCCAAGAAAATTCAGCTGACCTAAAGTGACCTCATCTTGCATCAATTGGGACTAACAATTGCCCTCAATTCAAATGAATCATTAACAACATTCACTCTTTTAAGCACCATGGATTTAGTGCGACACAAGAGTATCAAGAGTTGGATCAACACATCAAAGAAACTCTTTCTATTACTTTGGTCATTGTGGAACCCAAACTCACACATCCTCAACTCTCCCTAAGCAAACCTCACCTTTAGGAATGTAGCACTCAGAACGAGGATAATGGAAATACACTCATCTCTCTCAAAGAAAAATCACAAGTCCGGCTCTAAGTACCATAAGCTTGCCCCTTATGTGAGTCACCACTAATGTAAGCTTCATTCAACTCAAGATCATATAGGGCTTTTGTGGAGATATAGTGAAGGCTTTTGGTTCAGGGTAGGAAATGTTTAGTCTACGTAGGTTCCATCTTCCCTTTAGCACTTCTTTTGCTTCATTTTGGCACATATTCTCTTGACTTTTTAAGTCCTTTAACTTCTTTCTAAGGGGTTAGAGAGACACACTGTCACTCTTTCTTGTTTATTTCTAACTTTTTCTCCTTTTTCAATTTTCCACACTTTTCATCTCTTTGCTTTTATTGAATCCCTTCATTCTTTTCTACATTGGACGTTCTTTTTATCTTTTTGATTTTCTTTCTTTTTCATTGGCTTTCCTTTTATTCATTTTGTACCTTTTACTACTTTGTTGCATTCCTCATGTCTCCCCCCAAACTTATGCTTTTGCCTTGTGCTAAGGAAAGATCGGGTGCCAAG